AACCCAGGTGTCGGTGGGCTGCCCAGGCTGGGTGCTTGGAGAGAACCCAGGTGTCGGTGGGCTGCCCTGTCTGGTGAGCCAGAGGGTCAGTGTCCACATGCCGCTGTCAGGAACGTCTCTCGCATAGCTGAGCTACCCTCTTTAGCGCTGCCCTTTGTGTAGGATGAGCTTGACTCACAGTGGGGTCTTTTCACTCAAGACAATGTGTGGGAACAGCCCAGGTTACCCTCTGGCTGGCAGCAGCAGCCATCAGGTCCCTATTTGCCTGTACTGTTAAGTAATTAAGCCCTGTCTTTCATTCCCCACATGAGACTTGGAAAGTGCCCAGGTGTCCTTGTGTGCCTGTGTGGACACCACCTTGGTGTGGTGCACCCACGGCATCCCTGTGGTCGGATCCAGCCTTGAGCTACCTCTGTTGACTCTGGCCGTGGCCAGAATGCCCACCCAGAGCCATTGCTGCTGAAAGCTGGGGCAGCAGGGCAGCAGCCACCGTGCTCCAGACTGTTACTGTGGGCAGGGTGATATGCCCAGCTCTTTATCATTGAATGGCTGGGGTTGCAAGAGACCTTAAAGGTCATCTGGTGCCAGCCCTCCCTCAATGGGCAGGGACGCCTCTCGCTGGACCAGGTCACTTAAAGCCCTATCCCAAGCTGGGCTTGGACACTTCCAGTGACAGAACAGCCACCGCTTCTCTGGACAATATGTTTGAGGCTGTATTACGTATCTGGCATGCAGGAAGATCCACTTTGCCCTACTGCCTTCAGCTGGGGTTGGGTTAAAGTGAATTCATTCCCTATTGCTGCTGTTACAGGAGGAGTGTAAAAGCCAGGCTGGGGCAGGGTGCTTCCATTCCTCCTGTTGAAACTAGGCCAGATGCCATATGGCAGGATTGAAGCTTCATGACACTACAGGGAAGAGGAGAGTATGCATCTGAGAGCTGGCAGAATCGAGCTCATGATTCATAAAGCACTCATGAAGATAAAGCTTTCCAGAGCTTGTGCTCTGTACTTTTACTGATTCTCTGTATTACTGGAGGCAGGATTTTAGGTTCCCTCTTCTTTCTGGTGTTGCCTGTTGAGAACAGGCAGCTTCTGCCATGCTCTGACAGACGCTCATTGCTGTCCCAGACAAGGTTGTACATGTAGTATGATATCTTGGTAGCTTAGATTTTGTCACATGGCGGTGGCGCCTATCAAGTTGTTCCTAGAACTGGGGTTCCAAGGAGGGCATTTCTAGCTGCTGCCAGCCTCTGGGGCCGTGGAGGCTGATGCAACTTCAGTCTGGAGTTGCCTCTGGCAACTGGTGTGTGGAGTCATTCACCTGGCAGGGAATGCCTTGTGGTAAATGGGGCTTCTGGCTGAAAGTGGTGCTGGGAGGTATGACCTGGAAGGAGGGGAAATGAGAATGTTGTTCACCTTATCCAAAAGTTCAGGGCTCAATACCTTTCTGCAGCCCTCATTTCTGAAGCAAAGTCCTTAAAGTCTTGTCTCTGATAGCTTGTTGCCTGAGATCCTAGAAGTTCATCTCTTCTGTGCTGGATGATGCAAAAAACCTTCCAACTTTATACCCTTTTCTTACATTTAATTCACAGTTTGAATTCTTCCCTTGCCCTTACTTTGCTGAGGTACCACCCTTGCTGAGGGGAAGGAACTTTTTGATTTTAAGCACCTTGAATAGTAATTGCTGAGTTGGTATTCCCTGTTACATAACGCCAGGAGAATCACTTTCATGTTTGCTATCCACTGGTACAGTGCAAGCTCAGAAGTCTCCTTGTGCCTCTGCCCCCTCCAGCACCACAGCCTCAAAGCTTTGGCAGCACACATTATCCCAGAAAGTTACAGGCCACTTAACTTGCACCGTAAGATTTCAGGGTGCTGACCTTGTATTGTACAGCTGGACTGCTGTGGACATGGTTCAGCATTGCAGAAATAACAACATGGATTCTGTATTTGGAGCTCTCATGTTCAGGTTGTTGGTCTGGCCCCTATTCTGCAGAACACCTCAGTCTGTGTTATCATGATTTCAGTACTTTGGGTGCAAAGAACTTGTGCAGACAAGCAGTCATCTTAATCTGGAATCTTTCCAAGGAGCCCCCTCCTTCAGCCAAGAACTTTCAAGCCACCTGTATCAGGACTGAAAGTGCTTAATTTGCAGTCCAGACCCTCTTTCACACAATCATCTCTGGGTCCTCAAAAGAAGACTGAAGCTCTTTTTCCTTCCTGAGACATGACTGACTTTAAGAGCTGTCAGATCAGTTCTGGGCCATAGTACAGGTTAGTCTATGCTTTACACCCCATAAAGAGGTGGATACACCATGATCCCAGGGATGATGAGATTTAGACAATACTCTGGCTTTGTTTGCAGCTTGGCAGGTGGAGGCTGAGCTTAGCCTTGATCCTGCTGTAACAGCTGTAAGCTGCTCAGGGCTTTGCCAGCAGACCTTTGACTCCAGCTGTGTCACACCTACCGTGTCCCTTTCAACATCATCCCTCTGACTCAGGTCAAACCACAGGCAGCCTAAGAGCTTGCTAATGGCTTCTTGGAGGGTTATTATTTCCCAGTGTTCCTTTGGAGAGTGCCACATGAGCCATGGTCATCCATGGCATGGCAGGGGCTGACAGCAACCCTGATGCAGCAGAAAACACTGCTTATCTCCAGTTGCAGCACTTAGCCATGGGTTGTACCTGTCCTAAAAATAGGTGTGTGGCTCCCTGTGGAGTATCTATTAAAAGCTCTACTGATTTCTTTGGGTTTCTACATGGCTGCCTGGCAGCCCTGGCTGTGTGTTAACTGTACTCTTCTGTATCCAGCACAGAGCGTGCTTTCATTCCTGCTCCCATACCCCTCACAGCTGTGTCAGGGTCCTGCTTAGGGATTTTGAGTTTTCCCTCACTATTAAATGCCACTTCTACTTCAGCAGTACTTGGCTTCTTGAGAAGAATTGTAAACTGAGAAAGACTGCAGAAACTGAAACACTACACATGGCTTCCCTGGAAAGACATGTGTGTGAGCTCAAGATCATATCTCAGTTTGAGGAACTCCTAAAAGGACCGAGATGAGGATAAACATCCTATATCTAATCTAAATTCCCATTTCACAATATTCTTGGAACTGTTCCATGGGCTTACACACACACATTAAAGCAAGTAGTTTTGAGTATCTTTTAAAAGTACCCATTTTCCTGAATACAAGGACGTGAGGCTTGTACTGGAGAGTCTTTCTCTTCCTCCTGAGTATGTTTATTGGACTGTAAGGGTGTCCATCTTACTGCCTGCCACTCTAGCCTGTCATTATTGTATGTCTGTCACCAGCTCTTGAAATTGTAGTGCTGTAATTCAATCTGAATATGCAGCCAAATCTGCCACAAGATGTGAGCACAACATGACAATTTCATCCTCTTCCTTTTTTAAGTAACTCAAATGTACAGATAAGCCTACTCAAAAACCACTGTGGGCCAACAGCAGTGCAACACTGAAGTTCTTTTGCTCAAGATTCCCTTTGCAAAAGGCATTCAGAGTAAATAAGTAAGTTGAGACAACAAAACTCAGTCACCGTTGCCTCTTATGCAAGTTGCTGTGGTGCAAGCACTGCCCTTCCTGCCTTATGTTTGAAGGAGCAAACCCCCCTGAGATCAGGTTGGAGAGCTCTTGCACACACAGTGTAGAAATGCCACAAAATGTGCATAAACCAAAGGGCCAGAACAGAGCAGGGACCCATGGCAGCTGTAAGCCCATGTGGGATGGGGGGACCTCCCTGTAGGAGATACCGGGCTGGCTGAGGGACAGTTGCATTAGCAAGGAGAGCTGGAGACAACCGCTTGTGTGCAGGTCGTGTGGGTAAGGTGGCCAAAGGAATAGGAGGTGGCTGGGGCCCAGGGAGGACTGCAGGGAGTACTGGAAACTGCTGGGCTGGGGCAGGGCACAGCACAAAAGAGTGAGAAGATAAAGGGAGAAAGCAGGGGGAAGGGGGTGAACATAGGGATGTGGAGCTGTGAGACATCACATCCTGAGGTCCAAGCCAGCAGAAGCATCTGGCTGCTTCATGCTCACGACAACATTACTGATCTGGGGATAAATGACACTGATCAGAGATTCCTATTAAATACTAACCTGAGGGTTAGTCAGGTTAACTGGAGTCTGCAGCCTGGAGGCATCCCAGATGGATACAGGGTGCCAGGCCATACAGAGTGCACCTCCAGCAGAAGCAAATGCTGCACATGAAATAAGGAGCAGGCAGCATTTGTCCACCTGCTGGGCTCTCTCATCTGTGAATAGGGAAAAAGCGTGCTCTACTGTGTTTTCTACAATATATGCAGAGTTAATCTTAGCCCTGCTAATTCTGGTTGAAAGACTTCTTTAATGCCTTAGAAGACAGCAGCATGATGTCTTAAACCAGGCTGTTTGCAGGGTGCAGCCCCAGGTGACAGGCTGAACATGCCAGGCAGAACATGAGACTGCACAGGACTAACCCTATCTCTGCATCCGTATTTTGTCTCAGACTCAAGAACAGGCTCCTGCACAAACAACCAATGTTGTTGTTGCAACAAGGTACCCAAGTGAGGAGGAGAGTTGTGGTGGACCATCTCTAACACCAGTTTTTCCCTTGCAGTGTGTTCCATGGGAAACAGCACCAGCCGGCTCTACAGTGTGCTAGCCAAGACTCTGAGCAGTGGTGCTGTAGCCCAGCACCAGGACTGCCTGGAGCAGCTGGACTCAGCACAGCTGGATCCTATAGACCCCAAGGATTTGCTGCAGGAATGTCAGATTGTTCTGCAGAAGCGGCCACCCCGGTTTCAGAGGAACTTTGTGAACCTGAAGAAAAACAGCACCAGTAGCCACCGCCCCATCCGGGTCATGCAGTGGAACATCCTCGCCCAAGGTAGGAGATGCTTGTGGGCTCAAGGTATGAGCTTGAGATCAAACACAGCTATGAAAACCCTGGCAGAGCAGAGGGAAAGGAGTGAACTACGTGAGATAAAACTGACTGAGGGCCAGGGGGAATATTTTGAGCACTTGAAATAGTGGCTCTCCTTCTGTCCCATAGGAAAGGAAATAAAGGATCTCTCCTTGCAACTCTGATGCCAAAGATAGCCCTGCATTCCTGTATTAACTGAACATAGTGTATTCTAAAAGCTGTGACCCATCAGTTTTAGGTGGTTGTTAACCCCACAGAAAAGTCATCCTTTTCCTGAGTTTTATTTGTAAAGTTTCTCTTCAGTTTCTGATTACCTTATTGGTGAACTATCCATAAATTCAGATCTGCTACGGGAATTCTTAATACTTAAAAAAACTTTAACTGCTAGTTTTGAATCAAGGCTGTAAGTTGACGAGTGCAGCAGCCTCATCTTAAAATATTTTGGAGTGGGCAATTTCCCTCATAAGGATTGTCTTAACCTTCTGCAGTTAAGTCACTTTTAATCCACTTAATTTTATTTTGGCTTAAGCTGCAGCAGCCACATGTGGAAGTACTTGCTCTTGTGTAGTGGGCAGAGGGGGAGAAAGTCTTAATATATCTTTTATCTGTAAAAGGAACTTAATTTTTTTTGAGTGACTCCAGTGACTTGAGAAGGGGTTCTCACACCTGCTGGAAAATCTGGTACCCTTAAAGTCACTACATGTAAACTGATAAAACCTGGAGGATGAAAGGCTGTTTCAGCTATCAGTAACTCTGGGTTTTTTGTTTACCCTCCCTGCTAATTCCAGCTCTCGGGGAAGGCAAAGACAACTTTGTTCAGTGCCCCATGGAAGCTCTGAAATGGGAGGAGAGGAAGTGCCTCATCCTGGAGGAAATCCTTGCATACAAGCCCGACATCTTGTGCCTTCAGGAAGTCGACCACTACTTTGACACCTTTGAACCAATCCTCAGTCGCCTGGGCTACCAGTGCACGTTCTTCCCAAAGCCGTGGTCACCGTGCCTGGATGTGGAGCATAACAATGGGCCAGATGGCTGCGCCATGTTCTTCCTCAAGGAACGCTTTGAGCTCATCAACAGTGCCAACATCCGGCTGATGGCCATGAAACTGAAGACCAACCAGGTGGCCATCGCTCAGACGCTGAAGTGCCACGAAACCGGGAGGCTCTTCTGCATCGCCGTCACCCACCTGAAAGCCCGCACAGGCTGGGAGAGGTTCCGCTCTGCTCAGGGCTGTGACCTCCTGCAGAACCTGAAGAACATCACCCAAGGAGCAAAGATCCCCCTGATTGTCTGTGGAGACTTCAATGCAGAGCCAACCGAGGAGGTCTACAGGGAGTTTTCGAACTCCAGCCTCAATTTAAACAGTGCGTACAAGCTGCTGAGCCCCGATGGACAGTCGGAACCCCCCTACACCACCTGGAAGATCCGGCCCTCTGGAGAGTGCCGGCACACGCTGGATTATATCTGGTATTCCCAGCATGCCTTGAATGTGAACTCAGCCCTGGGCTTGCTGACTGAAGAGCAAATTGGGCCCAACAGGCTGCCCTCATTCAATTACCCTTCTGATCACCTGTCCCTTGTATGTGACTTTAGTTTTAATCAGGACCCTGACAGGCTGCTGTAATGTCTTGGAGTGCTACCTGGTATTGCAGTGTTTGAACTCACTGGTCTTTTAGAGAAAACCTTTGAAGCTAGATGCTGTTGAAAGGTGAGAAAATCCTGTTGACTAACCATTATTTCAGGCACTTGTTTGGAGTTACACTTGCTGTTCAACCCTCATTAGTGTGCAGCCTTCAAGGGAGGAAGAAGGAAGCCAGTGTTCTCGTCACACTCTTCCTGCCACATCAGGGTTTGAAAGCTAGAAGGCAAATGGCTTTATTCTTTCACTAAGCCCACTGTTTTAAGGATTTAATCCTCTAATGAATGTGGAGGCCTTAGTATTTAAATCAAAACACCTGTGTTTGTAAAACATCTTGCCCTGACAGCATGCTAATATGTATTTCATGTTAAGCTTCTGCAAGTACTAAAGGGAGTGAGGTTCGACTACCCAGTGAGATTATCTTAAATCTTTTTCTGTTGCAATATGAAGGAAGTTTAATGCAGTTTAGACAAAAAGCTAAGCTCATAATAGTGTGGTCTTGTCATTTTTCCATGACCTGAGATGACAAATTCATTAGAAGTGTGAGGAAGGAAGGACCCCTCCAGTAAGAGCAGGAGAGGAAAGAGAGGCTGGCTATGACCTAGAGTAATACCCTCACTTTTCCAGAACAGTGTGCATGTATGCAGGCTGTACAGTGTGACTGTACCTTCATCTCTTCTGTGCTCCCCTTTGGAGGACACAGCTAACCAGGGACTATTTCTTCCTCTGCTCTGAGTATTACTTTTCTAAATTGTTTAAATTTGTAGTCCTGTCAATCTTGCTGTTTCAGTAAAGGGCCAGTCTTAATATTGAAAGATTTTCTTTTATTTATATTCAGAAACTAAAGCTACACCGGAACCTGTTATAAGATAAAATTTATTAATTGAGAGGAATAAATAAGTCTGATTTGAAATCATAGAGTGACAGTGTTCAGGAGCCTCTTCCTGTGACCCAGGAAAACTCTGGCAAAGCATCTGGGCTACAATAGAGGTGTGTTAGTATAGTAACTGCTGTGATTGCTCACTGGTGACAGGAATTGCACATATGTGTTGTAAATAGTAAATATACCATTATGCCAGAAAATGGCATAGGAGAGAGGGAGGAAGAGGGACAGCAGTTGGAGTTGTGCTGACATTTAGATAGTTGAGGAAGATATAGCAGGGCAAATAAAGCAGTATTTTCACTTGAAGTAGGGTGCATAATAACTCTTAAATGTTCCAGGTGTTTATTAATAAAACTCTTTGGAAAAAAGTAGTATCTCAGCTGCTGTCTTTCTCACTTTGCTGTCCCAAGTTCCTGTTGCCAAGGAGGTGACCTGTCTCAACTAGTTTGAACTTCAAGTTGGTGCTGATGCTTCCCCTTCAGACCCCTTTTCCCCCATCCCTAACCCTAATCTCAGAGTGGCATGGCTGCTTTGCCTTCACAGCACACACCCTTTCTCCAGCTTGGAATGTCCAAATTTCTCAAGTGTGAAGGGAAGGGAGTTATGCTTAGCTGTTAAGCTGCTCACTCTTATAGTTAGAGAGGAAACCTACACTGTATTACTGTAAATATTTCCCTTTCCAACAGTTGTGTGGAGCTACAAACCTGCAAAGCAAGGTTCAAGAATTCCTCCCTGAGGGCTGCTAAATGTGCAAGGGAAGGCTGGCCCCTTACAAGATGCAGCTGTATCTGCCACTTTCTTCTAAAACCTCATTTGAAGAGAAGAAGCGCCACAGGTGTGAGCTTTACACAGCCCATAAATTACTATACTTGCATTGCTGAGAAGGGAAATAGAGTCTGGTGACTGGAAGTCCCAAATTCCCACAGAAACACACTCATCAGGCAAACAAATTAAGTGCTGTTGTGCAGCTGTAACATGCTCTGCACGTGTTCCTGATGCTTGCAGGATGAGGGCAATGGTTTGCTTCCAAGCAGAGACTCCTTTAGCCAGCCTGGGATTTATGTGGATTTGACTTTCCCCAAAGAAAAGGATTTTACAACCAAGGAGAGACAGCCTTGGTGAATACTCTTACCGTGCACATGCAACATGCCAGCACCTCCTTTGGCTAGAATTTCAGAAAGAGCAAATTGTGTCCCTGCAAGCCAGAAGGGTGGCACTTTTGGGGGAGATTTTGGGCAAGAAACACAACATTCCCAATGCCCCACAAAAAGACAGACCTTTGAGCATTGCTGCCATGTTTCATACCAAGTAGACACTGACAGCTTCCTTTTTATGGTGCTGGCTGCCCTCAGTCGTGCAGAGGGAGTGAGAGGCAGTGCTTCTCCTTTGCAATTATTTTCTCTTAGGAGCTTCCCTCAAATGGTCTTGCAGGGAGGAAGAAAAATACCAGTGCCTGTTAATTAACATCTGTAGTCATCTGCAGCTAAACACTTCTAAAATCAACACCACAATGTAGACCTATAAACTGAACTATCACAGCTGTAGAATTTCCACTGTCACTCTCACAGTGAGGTATATGGTATCTGTACGATTCTTAAGACATTTTAATTCATACCCTTGCTTGCAACACTAATTCTCCTAAACAAGAAATCAAACTGTTGAGAAGAGCATGATTTGTATGATACTGCCATCACCGCAGAACCTCTTCTGAAGTGGAAAGGGCTGGGATTCTTCTTTCATCCTGGACATGTTACAGTAGATGTTTGCTGCTTCAACTCCTTAAAGAGTAATTTTGAAGGCAAGGGGTGGGGGGGTGAAATAACTGAAAAGTCTTCCCATTTCAAGGCAATTTTTAATACTCTACTCAGAAAATCCCTGCTACAGCACAATGTTGAACCCTTTCTGCTGGATTTTAATAAAAAGGTAGGCTGCAGAAATTAACTGGTAAATTCCAAGGCAGTTTCACCCCTTTATTCCAGTACGTGCCATAATTTATTTTGCAGACAGACTTTTGGAAAACTTAAATGGATTATTGCTCTTGCTTTGTTTTATGCAGCAAGAGGCAAGCCTGCAGCTCTGAAATACTTCTGCCAGCTATAAATATCAGTACACTAAATATTTTTCAGAAGAAACAGAAAGGATTTTTTTTTTCCTGTGTAGCAGTATGACTCTTAACAATAATAATTGTCTTCCAAGCTCTTCTTACGAATATATGCCTTATAAGCACACCAAGGCTAAAAAAAGGCTACACAGATCCCTTGCTTTCATCTTCAATACAGCATGCCTTAGCTTTAGAAGTGACACTTTTCCCTCACTCTCAAGCAAGCTGCAGGAAGAAATGACCCACTTGTTTAATTTGCTGAGAGGCAGAAGCTGTTGCAAGATTATTAAAACACTATCTCTCCTGGAGAACAATTAGATTCCAAATACAGTGTCATTTGGATCTTCCTAATAAGCTTAATATGTGCTATTTGAACTGTCTCTACAAGGCAAAATTGCACTTAGCTTGTTCTGGCAGTAATGATCTTCACATGTAGCTGAGATCCCTGCTGCACACGTGATGAGTACCAACTGGAGGCTCTAAGCACCTCTCCATTTTCTCCTCAACTTCTGACTGCCCTTGCCTCACTCATCCCTGATCACCTCAGATTTAACTCTACAAAACCCTAAAGTTGATGAAATCAATTAGCAGAAGATCCCAAGAGCTCAGCCTTCCTTTCAGCACACTTCATCCAGGTAAGTTGAGATGTGTCAAGATCCAGACCCCTTCACTGGGAAAGATGTGCAAGAGAGCACTAACAAAAACAGCTGTTTCGGAAATGGAATTCCCCTTTCAACTTTTCTTATTTTTGATACTCAGACATTTATTCTGAGTTGCAACTCAGAGATGAGATGTTTTTTTACCCTGTGGATTACATATCATCACCCTTTTCATTCTAAAAGTTAAAAAGTCAGTTTGAAAAATATTTTTTATCTGCAAAATCAGCGGTACCAAGTCTGTGTATGTCCCAATGCCTTCTGTATAAAGCATACTCACTTCACAGAAGTTTCATTCTACCCACACATCTACAAGTTACTGCTTGCCAAGGATGAGTTAAGCCTGGACCCTTCCACCTGAACCACCAGATTCAGATGTAAAAGGGAATCCCACTTTCACACATGTACAAAACAACAGGAAATCAATGGGATTTCAAAAGCCTGGGAGTATAGCTAGATACTAACCATTTCAATATTCTAGTGTTCCTTTCATCTATTTCAGATGTTACAAACATGACCAAAGCTCCCTCATCCCTCATTGGAGGTCACATCCTCCAATACCACCAGTAAAAACATACTTACTTACAGAATCAACAGATTAAGTCCTCTTTCCATTTCAGTTACATCAGTGCATCCTCACACAGATCGAGATTCTCACAATACTTCATGAACTTCAGGTGAGTATCCTCTGGCAGCCAGTATCATGTGCCACTCACTGGTGGCCAGGGGAGAGAGCCAAAGGACCATCACAAATTCCGTGGCAAGACACAGCACTGGCAGCGTCTCAGAGCTGGCTACAAGCTGACTACCCCGCCAGTAGTGGAGCTGGGTGCATTCATTCCTCTAGTTTTTGCCATTACGTAATGAAGTCTTGGCATTGCAAGGTCATCAGCTGGAAATCCTTATCTAATTCCAAGAAGATAGTTTGTCCCCATTTGACTTCCAGCGTATCTAAATTAGTTGTTGGAAAGGTCTTAATTACAAATATTTGACATAGATATTTCATGCTGAGATACAGCATTTCTTGCAGATACAATCATGAAACAGCCATTTATAATAGGGTTTCTTACAGACTGGACTTACAACAGCAGGTTTAAAAACACTTGTTTCTTTCTTCTTCTCTTTTGGCTCAGATTTGTACCACCTGCCTCTCTTTACACTGCTCCATTTCTCTTTACACAGAATGTTTAGTGCCTCTCAAACTGCCAAATTGAGTGATTGCCTAGCTTCCCCTACTTCCCTTTCCTACCTTTCTTAGAAAAAAAGTCGTTTTCTCTCTCCATTTCCTTGTGTGAGGGTTCTTAGTCCTCTACCCCATGCCAGAAACACAGTTCATGCATAAGAACTTTTGATTCTTTGGATTGCTGCAAATGGAAGATTGCTGCCTTATATAAGCAGCAATCTTTTTTATCTGCTTCAGCTTAATTTTGTTCTTAAACTCCACTTCCCTGCTCAAGAGGATGAAAAAGAACTGCTTTTCCAGAAGTTTTTCATAGTTCCCCCCTCAATGCTGGCCTGACTGTGTAGAGCTATTCCCACTCTTCTTACCAGTTGAAGGGAAGAATGAGCCTTGCTGCTAGGACTCTACAAATAACCTGATTCTCAGCATGTAAAGTATTTCATTCTGGTGTCTTTCAGCATTACAGAAGACCTCAGCTCCAGACAGCTGTTAAAATTGCTCCTCCAGGCATAAAGTTAGATGATAATTTAGACTTTAATTAAACTTCAAAATTACCCAAGTTCCTGCCCTGAAGACTTTCCAGGGCATATCACTAGGAACTGGGGGTCCATTGGGCACCTGACTACCCACAGCCTGATGTGCCAGTGTGGTGCCCCTGAAATCAGGCTAAGCTACATTCAAAGCCATGCACATGGACTGGAAATATGGAGCCAGTACCTAGTGTAGCTGGAAGAGCAGTTAGGTAGTTCACAGATCTCATGTGCACGCTCACCATCCTGATAACGTCTAAGAACTAGACCCCTGCCAGAAGTTACCTCACCAGCTATATCAAGCTTCACAGGTATTTAAACAAATGGGTGAGAGAGCTGGTCAACCCTTTGAAGCAGGAAGGAGTCCCAAAATTTCACAACATATCATCTATATTAGGATGAACACCTGGAAGATTTCAGATAGGAAAAGAAGGTTAACAGGTTATCAGAAAGGAAGAAGGAAAAAATAAACAGCACACCAAACACCATTAAATTTTCTTTCTGTATTTCATTAAAACCTACTTGAATACACTTTGAAACAAGAGTACAACAAAATAGAATATACTTCAAATGTTGAATATACAAACTATTGTAGTTCGTTCTGAACACTGGTACTTCCCTCTTAACTTCAACTAAAAAAATTTACAGGTTTAGAACTACCTGACAAAAGCTCATGCTGGGTGTGACCTCTGAAGTGAGAGTACAGCTGAAACTGAAATGTATGCACAGATGTCAAGGCTAAGTGAGAGAAAGAGGGATGGTACAGCAGAAGGCAGAAAACCTGCTGCTACTTTGTCCACGATTAAGAAATTTAGACAGACTTTTAACTACCATACAAAATATGTTACATGTTATTCTATAACAATACTGTGCTAGGTACAAGGTTTTTAAAAAATTTGTTTTA